AATTCAATTCAATTCAATTCAGTCTGAGAATCCATCTCTCTCTGCTCACCTTTTCAGTTGAATAACCTCGGGAGAGTCCCTTCTGAGATGCCTGCCACACCCTTATTGCTTCTGTGAACTCGGCTGCCTCTTATCTAAGGCTGCCTAGTCAGTAGTTCTTATCTTCCAAGCATATTCCCACATACACTATATTGCCAAAGTATTCACTCACAACTGCTTCTGATTATGTGGATGGGTGAGCAAATACTTTTGGTAATATAGTGTACCTTCAGTTATTGGTACATACGGGGCCAGGAACGCAGAGGGGAGTCTTAACCATTGCTATGGTATGCACAGAAGCCTCCACAAGCTGCTTCGGTGGCATTTTAGCTGCGGAAAGACCTCTCTATTTGCAATTGTACCCAGCATGGTTCTCCTCTGAAATCATGTTCACATGCAAATACAACTCTGCTCCACTCTGCAAGAGGAGCTTCTTCGTGTAGAACCACCATTTTTCAGTACTTTTAAGAATACTAAAGAGGGAAACTGCCAACCTCCCAAGAAGACCAGACAGGAAATATGACAGGATGAGCTAATCATGCTTAATTGCGAGGCAGCACTAACAGAACTTTGCAAGCCTGAAAGTACAATTCTCCCTCCAATTTTTTTCCCATTTATAGCAGATCTTTTCTAAGTTTCTTCTTCGATTGAAGGCTGCTCCCTCTCTGATTATTCCCTATGCATAAGGGGCGGGGGGGGGGGGGCTTTTTGCAAGGTCATTTTGTTACAGGAATAGAGTCGTATACCATTTGCCCAACTCTGATTGGCATTAACCTTCACAACTGTCTTTACTTTTGCATTCTTCAGATATATGGACCAAGTCCCAGAAATCCTTAGCCAGAACAGCCATTGCTGAGGCTTCTGTGAATTGAACTCCACATATCATCAGGGCACCAATGTTGGAGAAAGTTATTCTAGAATTTTGAGCAGATATACTTTTTGTTATTTTTTTTTTACAGCAGGGGTTGAACCCAAAACCTTCTGTTCATAAAGCTTAATTCTTGGGCACTGAGTATGGTCTCACATCTCAAACCCTTCCAGGCATTCAGCCACATTCCATCCATCAACAGAGAGCAAAGTGCATCGTATGTAGCCAAGGAAAAGGCCCTGTTATTCTCACCTGCACAACTCCACCATATTTGTCCGAATAAGCTGCCCAATAAAATAGCCGACGTACACTAATATCCACCTCCATCAAAGCTTTCTCTTTTTCTATACCCATTAATGATTCCAGCTGTGATGCAATCCCAGCTCGACTGAGTTCCAGATTTTCAGCCAGGTAGTACAAGATCTGGGCCCGGGCGTGTGTCGTTTTCTTCGCCCACCTGTTATGAGACCACCCAAAGTTAGAAAGGAAAACTACCGTAGCACTATCGTTCCTAGAGTAACCCTTCCTGAGAATGAATAACCAACTTTATTGCATCAAGAAAAAAAGATATTTAGCCCAAAATGCAAACTTTGGGGTGGCACGGTGGATCAGCAGTTAAAGAAGCTGGGTTTGTTGGCAGAAGAGCTGGCAGCCCAGGTCGAGACCCAAGCACCATGTGACAGGGTGAGCGCCCATGCTTGCCTCAGCTCCTGCCAATCTAGCAGTTTGAAAGCATGCAAATGCGAGTAAATCTCTCTCTCTCTCTCTCTCTCTCTCTCTCTCTCTCTCTCTCTCTCTCTCT